AAAAAGAGGATAGCTTATGGGGGCAGGGAGGTGGAAGGAATTGGGGTCAATGGCCATAATTTTGTACTACTGTGCCACAGAACTGCTTCTTAAAAACTTTTACCTTAACCATTAATTAACCTACAAGTTTTTATTATAGGATGGCCCTCTCCCTCTGTTTATTGTCACATCAACCTGAGCTAAGGTGTAATTATATCTTTCAGCAGATGGTTGAGTAGCTCACCTGCCTATGTAGCCACAGATCGGTATAATATCGTTAAAAAAAAAAAAGTAATGCAGTCAATGGTAGTTGCTGAAAGCATAAAACAACCAAGACTGTCAGAATACATTTATGCGTGCAGGCTCTGGCTGCCATGTGCCACACGGGCACAATTTTGTCAGCACTTTGATCCAAACTTCTCGGAGAAGTTATCAAGTGGTGCTTACTGACAAGTCACTTGCTCTGCTCCCTGCTTCTCCACAATAGTGGGCATTACATTGCTGCCAGCTTGACTTTGATATTAGACTAGTGAGCAGAGGCCAGTTGGTCATATCAGATACACATTAACTTGCACACACACAGAATGAACAATAGACTTGTTTTATCACTTCCTGTCAGTAATCTTTAGCAGTGGTCATCTTCACAGTGCACTTTACATGAAACCAAGGCCTTTGAGCATTGAAGTGATTTGACACTGTGAAGCACTTTCCTCTTTGTGTGTAAGAGAATCAAAGATTATGGAATTCACTTCACAGTGTGATAACTGTAGCCTTTAAGCCTTGATATATACAGTATATCCTCTCAATTCAAAAGGAGGAGGCCCCGGGGAAGACCCAGGACATGCTGGAGGGACTATGTCTCTCGGCTGGCCTGGGAACACCTTGGCATTCCCCCGGAGGAGCTGGAGGAAGAGTCTGGAGAGAGGGAAGTCTGGGCATCTTTGCTTAGACTGTTGTCCCCGTGACCCGGTCCCGGATAAGCGGAAGAAAATGGATGGATGGATGGATGTTAATATTAACAGAACTTAAGGTTGTGGTAAATAGGTTTACTTTTTCTGTTATGAAACTGCTTTAAGTGCACAAAAATGCTAGGAATTGAAAAACAAAACAAATGATCTATACCAAAATATGTGTGTGTGTATGTAATTAATTTTATAAACTTGGTATTGAAAAACGTATCATTTAGGAACCTGTACTGACATCAGGGTATCAGTACCGGCATCAAATATTTTGAAATGATACCTGAGCGCCCTACTCATTTTGTAAGTTCCCTGACTGCCCGAGCAGACCTGTACTGTACCTTCTCTGTGTACTCTAATCAAGTCCTGACCTCAACAACATTACATTGCAGCTGACTATTTCATCATTAGAGAGGTTTTCATGCTTCTGCATGTCTGTTATTATTTCAGGAGCAGCAACATGGTTTATTCATCTGTCAAGTTGTGTGTGTTGCACTGAGAGCAGACAGCTGCAGTGGTCTATCCCTGAAGGCTGCTGCCTGCCTCTTACTAAGAGAGAGACTGAGAGCAGTGCACAGTAGATGGAGGAAGGAAGGAGTGCAAGAGGATAGAAAAGGAGGCAACAACTCTGCAACTTGATTTAGCCCTCACAACACGGAAACCCATCCACTCTGAAACATACTCTCAGCGTCATACAGAGAGTAACAGAGGGACAAATGGTTCCCTCTGTGCTCTTGGACAAATTCTCTGGCTCACTGGGTCCTTTTAGAAATGGCGGGCAGCAACAGTTTCAAGGGTCTGCCTGTAGCTAGAATGACAATAAACTCATAAAAGTCTATTTATTGCCTTATTTCTTTTGGTTCATTTTCATTTGTGCTTCATGTAAGCTGGCAATCACATCTCTGAACATCACCATATGTCAGTGACCTGAGGTTAACAACCTGCTTGAGATACAGAAATACAGCCCCTTATTAACTGTTTTGTAACATCTAATATTTAGTAGTTCAGTTTCACAAGGAGTCGTGTGACATTTTCCACACATGGGACACAAAGTCAGCTGCCAATAACAGCTTGTAAAAGAAGCCAGTATGTGGATTTGAAGTTTCTTTGGGACATGCTAAAAGGCATTTTCATGACTGCTGTCATCTGCTTCATTGATGCTTTAAGAGGAAGAGACAGCTACTTGCCACCTCAGCTAACTCTGCTGAGCAGTTTACAGCTTTTTGGCTACGTCAGTCTCTTACAAGACTGCACCGTCAGTACATCAGGGCAGTTCCAGCCTACAGAGGACTTCCCTTAACTCCATGAGAATAAACAGGCCCACTGGAAATATAATTATTGAAACATCATCTTGTGAGCCTCTAGGCCATTATGCTGGATTCTAGAGAGCATATGTCATAATAGTTCTATTCAGGAACAAACTGTTCAGGACAAAATAGAACAAGTTTGTGCAAATAAAATACTATCAATTGGAGCTAATAAGTTACTTGATATCTTAATGATTTTAAAAAAGACCAGGCCATCTTAGCAGGACTTTACCATTGTCCTATTTTAGTTTATTGATTGTGTCTGTAAAACTAAACTCATCCAAAAACTTATACCTGCCTCTCTATTACTTATGTCTATGACACAGGTGGCAATGGATGTGATGATTCAGCAATATCAAATCTCAGAGCACAACCCAGATAGGTTTTCTCTTTATATGATTATGTTCATAACATTATTAAAGATACTACACAATAAAGGAAGAGAGAGGATGAGAGGGCTGACATGCAGCACAACAGGAGTACTCCAACCTACAATTCAGACTGGTCACACAACAGCAGCAGGGTAACATGGCACAAACAAAGTCCTGATTTCAATCAGCCTGACTGTTTGAATGTCCACACACACAAACATTACAGCAGCTGCTGCCTGTAAGTCATCTTATTATTTTTTATCTCACAGTAAAGAGACAAAACCTACAGAAGGCACCCACACAGAGTTCCCTCTAAGATTTCTTTTTGCAGCTGCCTTGGTAAATGGTTTCACCAGTTTTCACAGACAAGAGAAACAAAACAAGCTGTTATTAATACTGTGACAGTCACAGCTACATTCAAGCTTTTCTGTCTGCTTCATAGAATATCTTTTAAAGGATAAGGCCGGTCATTTTCTACATTAACAGTGTTTTGTATGACAGTGAAGAATGCTGAACTTTGACTTGGCCCTTTTTAGTCTGCCTTCCATGATCTTCTCATTACTCCTGAGTATGCAAGCTATACTCACACATGTAGAAAAAGATACAGCTTCCTGAAAATATTAACCAACCACCATCAAGACGCTGCCCAGCCTGACAAACGCCGACATCCGTCTAAGTCCATGTCCCTATTTTATAGGACAATTTTTGTTGAGAAAGACCCTCTAAGACCAAGTCATGGAAGAAATTATAGAACTTGTCATGGTCTGGGTGGTACGTTCTGTGACAATTAACTGGATCTTGGTGTGCTATTCTACTGTATTAAAATCTGTCTGACAGTAAGATAACTATCATGATGTAGTACAATTGCCTCTAAATGCATGTCATCTTACCATCACTCACAGTGCTATACGCCAACAAAATATCTACACAGCCTGCATTATAGCAGAGCAGCAGATAACATGTGTTCAGCAGTCCTACATTTACCTGACATTATACTTTTAGTTGTGGTTAGAAGTTTAAAGCATGGCCTGTGTAGACAAGAAATTCAGAGCCAGTGATCTGCCGCAAATACCAGAATGATTTCAGCAATATGGTAAAGTAACTAACAGTTTGATCTGCCAGCATCAACTACTGTATGTTTTTATCATGGCTCAAACACAGCGACAGAGAGAGAGAGATTAAATGCTTGGAGGCTACACCCTTCATTTTCTGCACCCCTCTCTGTCTGTGTCATGCCCTTTCTCTCTTTCTCTCCATAAAATGCTTTCCCGCCAGCTTATAAGACATCTGTCACCACAAACTAACGCTCTCTGAACAAAGCGTGTCCTCACAGACAGAGAAGAGAGATGTGAACCAAGTTAATACTGCATTGTCAGCACGCAAGGGCATACTTTATAAAGCCTTGAGTTCACACACACACACACACACACACACACACACACACACAAGCCCCGGAGCTGCCAGCAGGGTCAGTCGGGACGCATGCAATATCTTGACAGAACTGCAGTGTTCACTGGCATAGAAACACATGCAACACACTGTGGAGCCTCACAGTCTGCCTCTCTCCCTTTGGATGATGCTGCCTTTATTAGGATACTTTGGATTAAATCAATTGTACGAGTATTGTAAATTGGACATACATACACCTTACCACACTATAATATTAAGATGTATTTTTTACCTCATTTCGGCCGCCTGTATCCAGGATCGCAGGGTGGCCGGGCGCACCCTTAGAGATAGGGTGAGGAGCTCGGTCACCCGGGAGGAGCTCAGAGTAGAACCACTGCTCCTCCACATCGAGAGGAGCCAGCTGAGGTGGCTCGGGCATCTGTTTC